TTATATAATAAATTATTTATATGATAAATTATTTATTCATGATCTCAATTAATTTTTACATGATAAATATTTAAGATTTTTAATTTATAAAAAAAATAATATTTAATTATATATCGTGATTCAAAATTATCTAATAATTTATCCAGTGAAAGTACTGGTTATTATTGGATTAAAAAAATACTTTAAAAAATTGAAGAAAACAATAGTCCGTGTGTGCTACAAAAGTCGCAAAACATAAAACGACATGTGGTCTGCCTTGGGCGTGTCACTTGGCAGGTTGACCGTGAGGTTTGAGCTGATGCATGTTTCTACTCAGACCGAAAGCGGTTAACAATTTTTCTTAACCATTCAAGCAATCATAACCGTGTTCTATTTGATTTATAGTTGTTCAGCACCATAGTATTTACTTTGCAGAACATGTTATGAATGCTGTGATGGTGAAAATGGGAGCAATCGTGGTTGCTAACGCTAAACTCTAAAAGCAACTGGTGCTTTCATCAAGACTTAAAACTAAATGCCATTCAAAATCATTCTATTATTAATTTATGAAAACAACTTCGCAGTAGTACGAGTAACTGATGGACTGATGCAGACATATACAACCATTGAAAAAACAGCATATCATTATTTTTTATAGTAACAACAGCATCAATTTTTTTAACCAAGATAATTTTTTTGGCACAATTGAAGGCCACCTTCTATTTATGAATTTCATGATTTCTCAGGCAGCATAGTTTCACTAATTTAACCACGAATGACTACAAAACTAAACTCTTAACGAAGGTCCCGAAATGAAATTCAATAGCAATTAACTACAGCTTTTTCTTACACATCTTGCACGTCAACAAACTCATGAGGTAGATACCAAAAGATTCCCCCTGTTGAACATATTTAAAAACCCCAAGATTCAATAGATTCAAACACAAAATTATAGAGAAAATTTAACTCCTTCATCATCAGTTGAAGTTCCTTTAAAGACCACAAGCTTTCCCTTCTGTTCTAATAGTTTCAGTGCACGATTCAAAATAGTTCGATCTATTCCATGAAGCTCTGTGGAATATAAAAAATAATGAGTCAAAACAATTGCAAAGCCCAGCACGTAGGAAATAACTAAAATATATTAAGAAAAAGAGTATTCAATCTCCCTGAACTGTATGACATATCTCTTTTTTCTTTTATCGGTCAAAAATGGTAGATAGGGATAAAACTACTATGACATATCTCTTTAGCATGTAAACACTTTAACTCGTCCTAATTAATCTTTAAATTATAGGAATTGTTCCAATGTCATTCTATTAACTAGGGATTAAATGATTACGTGAAAATATATATTTATAATACAAAGAGCCTAAAAAGTTTATAAACGGGGAATAAAGAGAAGTGAAACACTCGAGGTGAAGTTAAACACTTCCCATTTCACGAC